TCGTCAACTCTATATAGCGTAGGAACGGCTTGATGACAATCCTTCGTCGTCCCTCACGCACCAAACAACATGGCCGGTAGCAAACATCGCACATTGGACCCTGCGCAAGCTCACGTTGTGTCTACCATACTCCAGGAGGAGTTTGCTGCTGTCGTTCGTGACAAGGATCCTGGTGTAACTAGCTATCGTAATGTCACCAAGTGGGCTTCGGCGCGTCGCGCGAAGATTTTCGCTGAAGAAACTCTCTTCAAAACTGTAGCGGTTAGAGCGAAGCTCGCGGAATTCAATTTGGTCAGTATGTTGTGTGTCCTGCTAGCTTTAACAGCGTTAGCTTACTATTTTTCTAGGCTGTTGACCGCTGTTTCAGGAATTACTACCGTAAGCTGCGTACGGACGCTCAGTCCGGACAGGCGCATCAGTCGGGGCCGTCAGCGCCGCACGTCGGGACGACGCTCGTTGACCGCGTTGCCCCCAGACCCACGGCTCTTGACCTGTATGAGGTAGACGTGCGGGATGAAGTTATGGAGCTTGTTGGTCAGGACGTTGGCGAATACCATCCGCGTCTATTGGAGATGTGGCTTGCGTTGGAAGAAGACCTCCGCGGGGAGTATGAAGAGCAGGCTGAGACTATCGTTCCTACTGTCGAACAGTGCGCATATCCTGCTTTGTCTGCCCTACTTGTACTTACTCAGCCTGAATACAGGCGCCGGCGGTCCCTTGAAGCCCACTTCTCAAATGAATTGGACGCCATCTGTCGGGACAAGGCGCTCGGAGGCTTAATGGCCATCACAGTTTTTGCTTTTCGCGATAGTGACGGCCAAGTTCAGACCCCGGAGTACGTCATGTTTTCCTATCTTTGCATGATACCAACCAACCCGCGCGACTAGCTGTTACGGCCGGGTAGACGATATTACTCCCGGGTTTGGTTGTGAGGAGGATGAAAGGGAAGCGTTGTCGGCTTTCACAGCTGTATGGCGCGAGTACGCTATGGAACACCTGCCGACTGAAGGTGTGTCGCTTCGCTCACGCTGGTGACCGGATCTCTCACGCTTTCCACAGTTTCCCGGCGTTCGTCCCCATCGTCCAAAACGATCATTATCCCACGCAATCCTCAGGGCCTCCCTTTCTTCCCCGCGATCAACCAGAGAAGCATACTCCCCGGCGACCTAGAGGATCTCATTGTCCGATATCTGGAAGCGCTGTGGAGTATGTCCCTAGTGCTGGTTTTCTAGACCGGAACTGATCGACCACCTTGACAGCTCATCTACGACGACCCCACCATCCTCGTACATTACCGTGGGAGGATGTCGCAAACGATCCTTCTACCTACTACGACACGCAGCGTTACGATTACATGTGTTTTGATCGCGATGCCCTGGAGAACCTTCCAAGGCTGTATGAGTTCGCCACAGAGCTCGAAAAACACTGTGGCGTCGCTTCCAGCGATCCATTCGCGTTTTCGTTTTCAGTCGAAGACCCGATCGCCCAGCAGCCTCCCCAAACTTCCATGGCGGCAGGCTCGAACAGTGAAGGCAGTCGCGAAACCCGAAAGCAAGACTGTTCGACGAGTGCTCTCATCCAGACCTCAGCTCCTCTATCAACTTCTTCAACGCGCGGAAACGACCAGCAGAAAGCAATCCCCACCGCCAACTCTAACATCTCTGTGTCGCCTTCATCAACTTCGGACACCGTAGCGCGGTCGTCAACAGCGTCGCTTTCGCCTGCAGACAGAATTCGTGTTGCACTGCCTAGTACAGTGCAACGCTTGCCGCCTTCGACACGCAGTAGCAAGCGGAGTGCACCTTCGGACTTCGACAACTCTGACGAGACAGACAGACCGGCCTCGCTTGCACCGCCGTCGCGTGGCACACGTTCACGTCAGGTCAAGGACGACGCTGAGAAGCGTCATGGCAACGACAAACCTCCGCAAAAACGGGCTCGTCGTTCGAATAAGAAGGGCATTGATGTCGTCTCGACAGTGGCGAAACCCGCGCCCGCGCCGGCGGATCAGAAGAAGTCGAAGAAAGGCGCGAAGAAGAACAACTTCGGGGGGTGGCAGTTCGACAACAGCATCAAGTATGTTCCTCGCTTACTCGTAATAGCCATAGTCCTGAACACTCTCCAGCTTTGGCGCAATTAGGCTCGTCGACTACCAAAAAGAGGGGGGTACGATCTTGCAGGAGAGTGATTTCATCTTCAAGCGCGACAGCGGACGCGAACTGGGGGCTAGGGCTGTCGCGTCCAAGGACCCGGCGTGGTTTGCAGGATCCGAACTCTGGAGGAGTGCGATTCTTGAGCGTCCGTAGATCGGCGGTTGCAATGTGTACGCCTCGTCTGATCT